GTATTCAGAAAACCAGGCCACTGCCAGACTTTATCATTTTCATTATTGGCTAAGTCAATTATTACTTTGTCACTAATATTACTCTAACATAAGCACAGACTTGACTTCTGAAAGCAGTAAGTGCTATTTGTTGGGGTAGTGTTGCTGATTTTGCCATTCTTTTTCCTCCACACATTTCATGACGTCAGACATGTAACATCATTAATTGCAGAAAAACTCTCTTCATTGGTCGTATCTTGACTGTTGTATGCAGTCACATACAGACATGACATTTGATCTGCCCAGAAGCTTTTAAATTCCCATACCGGGAGTTGAACCCAGTCCTCCTGGGTGAAAACCAGAAATCCTTACCGCTAGACCATATGGGACTTGTTTATTCTCCATGCGTAAGGAGAGCAACTCACGCTTGAAATCTTCCGTATCGATAGTCCTGGTAGCAGAGGCTGTAGAGACGCCATCTCCTTTCTCACTTAAGTTTGAGGGTGCAGCGAACCGGTACACGTCCTTCTCCGTAGTTTGCTCCACAGCGCCCCCCCACAGCTCCATGTCAATATGATGGTTTATAGTGCCACCTACTGAACAGTGTGAAAATTAAGTCATGTTTAACTCCATTCTGCATTGTCTAATCAGTACCAAAATGTATACCAATGATCACAGTCCCTGCCTGGAGGCACAAAGATCACGTGGTCAATAGCTGAGACAGGTAGCGCTACTGCAGCAGCAGTGCGAGCAAAGAAGTTGATGGAAACTTTTTCTCTGCTTAAATAGGCCACTGAATAAGGTGAGCATGTATAATAGATGATTGTGGAGAATGAGGTGTGTCACATGATTGGAGCAGCGCAGCTCGTGTTGGCTGCCTGAACTAGCTCACAGGGTTGGCCCCATACCTGACTTTTTCTCATATTCTTGTGGATGGACTCCATTGATTTATTCATTCATGAAGTCATTGACTCCTAGTCCTTAGAAACGTGTGAGTTCCTTCCTGTCAGGAGTTAGCTGCAGCCTTCCTGTGTTCACATCCTACTTAGTAATGTTGCTGTAACATTAGCTGTGCAGCGTCTGACTGTAAAACACCACTAAACAATTATTATATTAATACTGTATGTTTCAGGAATATATTGTTATTTGGATTACATATTTTATGTGGGATACCAAAAATTACAGCCTACACCCCCTAATAATTGACATTAACATAATATAGAGCTAATAATAAAGCCTTATCTGAGTTTTTCCTTTGTTTCTGTCTTCAGACACTTGAAGAGATGAGTGTGGAGCAGGAGCTGACAGCTGCAGACATGGTGACCAACCTTCTGCTGAAGTGTCATGTTCTTATGAACTGTAGGGATACACCTATCAGACAGCCAGAGGAAATGCTCAGGAAACTGAT